GCGAAGTGTCTCGCTCTGAGAAGCACTCCAGAACTGAGACCTATTGAAGAAACAGTAAATTCTTATCGCCCCTTTAGTCTCCAGGTCCTGGGGGGGCCCAGCAGGCCAGGAGCCACTACTTAAGTTTCAGTGTTTTGTTGACTTCTGTCTTTGCCTTTGAGCATATGTAATTGGGTTTGCCCTTGTTTTTCTTGTTTCCTATTTTAAAGAGTAAGTTTTAGCACCTGCTCTAAAGATTTTTTGTACCTTCAGAGTAGATAAAATACATGAGCTCCAAATGCTGCATTCCATAGATGGTCAGTAAATGCTTGTCACTTTCCTGCTCCCCCTGGAGAGCTAATCTCCTCAGTCTCATTTTGCCTTGACATGACTCCATGCACAAGGACACCCAAGCCCTGCCCTCTGCCTTACATTGCAGTCCTTCTGAGCCTGGGCCGATCGGTCGCCTTCCCTTAAACTCATTGTGCCAGAGCCGGTCCATCACCTTCCCCTTCACTTCACATGTGAGCTCCACCGATGTCTCACAGTGGCCTTGAGCACCTTCCCTGACTGTTGTATCCAGACACGCTAGGTGCAAATGCTCTGGACCTTAAACTCCCACTGCTTTGGTTCATTCAGCAAATCGGTTTACCTCCATAATGGAATGTTATAATCATATATAATCACTAAGTATAATTTAAATAAATAAACCTGACTAATGAGTGCCTACAATTTGCTAGCTGGGCAAACAACTGGTGAACAAGTAGACGATCCCTGTTTTCAGAGCTCACAGTCTGTTAGAGGATAAAGTAAATAGATCATCCCAATGTAGTAAGATTAGCTCTTTGAAGTGGGAGGGCAGGGAGCCCACAAACTGGGCATCGAACCCAAAGTATCAGGGAATATTCCCAGCCTGTATCTCAGCTGCATCTCAACCAACAAGCAAGACTCAGCTTGTGAAGAGAGGACAGGTGTGATCTTGCAAAAGCAAAAGGCACGAGGGAAGGACCCAGAAACCTGAGAGAACCTGCTGCATTCAGGAAGCAGGCCAACCTAGGGAAGCTGGCACGTGCGGTGCAAAGCAAGGAGTGGCAAGAATGAACATCAGAGCTAGAAATGTAACTCACAACCTGTGATCTAAATAAACCTGTCAAAACTTCATATTTGATTCTCTATTCAATGGAGGAAGAGTGAGAAATGATGGTAAGAAATGCCAGAAGCCTGAGCGAGGATGGTGAAGGAAACCGAGCATTAGCTGGAGAAGAGCACAGGCATAGGGTTAAGGGAAGGTTGTTATTTTGTTGTTGTTCTTACTGTTTTAGGTAGGAGAGAATTTGTGAATTTTAAGTGCTGATGGAAAGTAGCTAGAAGCAAGAGGTGAAGATTCAGGCAGTGAGATCTGTAGTGAGGGTGTGAGAGTGCGTGGCTGGAGAGAAGGATACAGGAGGGACCACATGGGCTTAGATGCCCAGGTTTGTAGAGAGGTTCCTGACGACTCCTCCACCTTTTGGCTTCTGTGTTCTCAGAAGTAGTTGACATCTTCTCCTGGGCTTGAGGTGGTGACAATGACACTAGAAATTTCATTCATTAAGATTTTTATCAAGGCTTTACTTGGTGGGGAGGGTGACTGACATAATGTGACTCCAGACCTCGTGGCCCTCTGACCGGGAGACAGGTGGAGGGGAGAGCTTGTGGACACACTTCAAGGCAGGGGAAAAGGCACTGATGAGATCGTGCAGAGCTTGGAAACCATGTAAAGACTCTAATGTTTTCTGGAAGAGCCACTGGCACCTGCATTTCCAAGAACGTTAATGAAGCAAGGGAGTGACAGGTTCAGAATTCCTAAAGACCTCTCCTGACTGCAGGGTGATGGTGGGTTAACGTGGCTGTGTAGCAGATGTGGGGCAGCCCCTGGGAGGCTGTTCCAGAGAGTTGACAAAGCCGGCCATGTCTTGCTGTCACGTGGCAGTGGGGTCTGTGGAGAATAGGAGATTTGACGATGTTTAGGAGCTAAAATTGATAGCCTTTTGCAATTGTTTGGATATAGGGTTTCGTAAGAGAGAAGTATGGAGACTCCCAAGTGTGACCAGAGAGAATGGAGGATGGAAATGATCAACGTGAGGATCTAAGAAATACAATTGCTCAAAAAAACCCAGAATTGCTGAAGAGCATGAAGGTTTCAGTATGTGTGTGGCAGGCTTGAGTGTGTGGCGTTACTGCTCCAGTTGTATGGGTCTCAGACTCAGCAGTCCAGGCGTGGGTGTGGAGGGGGGCCCCTGGATGATCCTAGGCTGGAGGTTTCCTTGGCAATTGTGATAGGACAATGTGTAAAAAATGGGAGGATATTATTAGCAAAATTAGACATGATGGCCTGTGGTGATGAAGACATGAAAGGCTGCTACATAAAAAGAAAAATGAGAGCATTGGAGGTTCTGTGATAACAGGTTTGGGAGGGATAACGGAGTGAGAATCTGAAAGAATCATAGATGAAAGTGACATTGGGAAGTTGAATTTAATACTCTCCTAGTGGAACAGCTGTTAGTGATGCCAGGGTTTGCCCCCTACGTGGTGAAAGTGGAGAAGTTCTCTAGAGCTGGGCGTCAGGGAAGTAAGAGGCCGGCATTGAAAGGGTATCTACGTGGATGCTGAGGTCATGGGAATTGAGGTGCAGAGAATGATGAGAGCCAGGTGCTGACGGCTAAGTTGAGGCCTCTGCCGGGTTGCCTGCTGGGAGCTTTATGGGCCTTGTGAGGGCACTTTTTTTTTTTAATGTCAGAATGGCACAGGTGGCCAGGAATGTAGGTTTGATGTTTCTACAAAACAGAGATCTGACCTGCATCCCACATGACTTCTGAATGTTGCACTAGACCCTCGGGTGCTGAACAGACGCCTCCACATGTCGTGGGTTTTAGAAAAACAGGTCTGCCCTCTGTCCCGTCCCATAGGGAATTAGGCGTCTACCATACTTACATGGAAAACTCAGATCATTCCCAAAACAGTCATTACTTTCTCCCTTTGATTGCCTTGACTTGTTTCTCCTGTTTCAGGTAGGGCTGGTGCTCCATTACTATATGCCAGTAAGTCTCCTGTTCTACTCCCTTTTCTAATATTTACCTGTACCTTTGGGCTTTCACTTTCCTATACTTCCTTGGACAGAATTTTTCCTGATAGTTTTTATGACTCGTAAGTCCAAATGTATTTATTTTAAGTGGGTGTTAACATATGACTTCATAGGTTTTTTACTCTAGTCATGCCCAAGCACTTCCATATTGAAATACATTTTCTTTTATTATAAAGTACTTCATAATCTTTCACATATTAGAGTTAGGACATTTTATTAGTTTGGAGGGAGGAATTGTATGTATTTGTGAGTTATATTAACTATGAATTTGCATTTCAGGATATAGGTGGGACATTATTGAGGATTATAAAAAGGGAGAGTGGAGAACCCCTTTTTTAGAGAAGCAGGGCAAGTTATCAGAGAATTGGCACTTGACAATGGTTTGTGGAAAGACAGAAGGTGGTGGTGAATGGCCAGCAGGGGGCAGGGCCCAGCAGTAGCATTAGAGCGAAGACGGCTCCATCCCCAACCAGGGCTCCACACCTCTGCTCACACTTTTCCCTCCACCTGGAATGTCCATCCATTCTTGTCTGTCCACACACGTTCCTCATCATCAGCATAAAATTGTACTATTTTCAAGCTCAGAAGAGGAAGTAGGCAAGGGAATGAGCAATGCCTGGATTCCGTGCTGGGCCCTCTACGTAGGTATTTATTTATTGCTCCTGAGAAAGGGCGCTGATCACTTTCAGAACTAGAGTGAAGTCTCTGGAGTCTCCTCAGGCTCCAAGACTTCAACTGGCCCAGTGCCGTAGTCTGTTCTGAGTGCTGTAATAAATACCACAGACTGGGTGGCTTGTGAAGAACAGAACTGTGTTTCTCCCAGCTCTGGAAGTGGGAGTTGAAGGTCAGCAGGCCAGCAGGGCCAATGAGGGCTCTCTTCCAGGTCACAGCATCTCGTGTCCTCACATGGCAGGAGGGGCAGCACGCTCTGTAGGGTCTTCCGTAAGAGAGCCACCCACCCCACTTATGTGGGCTCCAGCCCATGTCAGGCTCCCCTCCTAAAAGCCCCACTCCTGACACCGTGACATGGGATCTTAGGATTCCAACATGGGAATTTGAGGGGGACACACACGTTCACCCAACGCATCCTGCATCACCAGGCAGGGAGTGATGAGGGTGGGTATCTGACGCTGGGCAGTCGGGCCTTGTGGCCGGGGCTCAGCCCAGTTCAGGACAGCATCAGCACACAGGGGGGCCAAGTCCTTCTCCGACTTGCTTTCAGACTCAGTGTTTGAAACTGTGCTTTGCTTTTGGCCCATCTCTTTCTTAATCAGTTTGTGTGACTCTCTCCACCCAGCGACTCTCAGAAAGCAGCATTCACTTAACCATCTTGCATTCTCCACAACATTGGCCACGTGCCTTGTTCGTTATGGGCAAATGTGTATGTGTTGGCTAATGTGGATCTGTAAGGCCTATGCAAGTGCTCAGATGCTAAGGACCAAGTAAACATGCCCAGCGAAGGAGAGGATCTTGACAAATGTAAATGTGGCTGATGGTTTTGCAGAATTAAAATGCAAAGATTTGCATCTAAAATAAAGTTCAAAGATTTTCTTTAAATCTAAAAACATTTAAAATGGAAATGATCAGTGTCCAGCCTCCACTTTGTAGCTGCGCATACTTTAAGGCTCCTCTGGGTACCATTACTCAGATACTCTTCAGTGTGTTTTATTTAAAACATAAATACTTAAAATCTTTTTAATGCAAAGTGAGGATTTAAATTTTCAAAGTAAAGAAGCAACCACAGAATTCCTGGCTTTCTCTGGCATCTTCGCCAGAGATAATCTGTCTCCCTGCAGAACTGGGTACGCGTCCTCAGTCTGTCTCATGGACTCATGACAGGCACAGGAGCGTTCACACAGTGTTCTGCTCAGTAACAACTTCATATTCTCTTGTTTTTCAGGTCCTGTAGGAGTAGGTTTGAATGAACTGAAACGAAAGCTGCTCCTCAGTGACGCACAGCACTATGGTGTGACAGTGCCCCGTAAGTCCTCTCTGGGTAGGCGGCAGATATCACTAGGTAGCATGTATATTCACTAATAATGGCTGCTTGGCACACATGGAGCCCAGCATCGTTCTAAGCATTCACTACCCAGACCTCACAACAGGCCAATGAATTAGGTAGTGACATTATCCACATTTTACAGAGGAAGAAACTGAGACACGAGAGTGATGGGATTTGCCGTAGATCACACAGCTCATGGGCAGGGTATTTGTTTATCACAGCTTCCCTACTCTCAATTTTTATGGTGAATTTTATTTAATACACATATGACATCAACTTATTATTTGCAAATTTTCTTCTAAACGAAACTCTTGACTATTCTATTTCCTAAAGTAAGTGCTAATGTTTTCCAGAGTTTGTCACCAGCTTTAAGATTAGAAGGACTAAGCCAGAGAGAGCTGAAGGAGGCTTATAATACAGCCCTTTCTTAATTACTTTTTATAGGTAGCAATTGGCAGATAGTGTTAACTGGGCCTTTTATGGCCATATAATCCAAAGATGGTAAGCTTCTTTTCAGCACACAGAACTGGATCTATTTTTGTAAAAGTGGTTTTCATAGGCATTCTCACAAATGAAATGTGATGCTGGAGGCATTTTGATCTCTAGAATAAATGCCATTTGACTACTTAATATGTTGATCTTAGAAAGCCATGTTAAAGACTAAATTGAAATGTTGGCTTTTTCAAGTGGTTTTAGGACTGTTAAAAAAATAATAATTTGTATATTGCCCTTAGCAGTGTTCTTTAGTTTTGGAAGAGTTCAACTTTATTTTAAAATTATAGTTTTCTATTACCTCAAGTTACTCCTTGTTACATTTTTCCAAATTATCATTTGTAATCATTTTCAGCCATAAGTTACAGGACTGCTGGTTTCTATCAACAAGAGATGAAAGTCAGAGGAAATGTGGAATTAAACAGCTTTTATATTTTAACCTGAATTATTCACTTCTCTTATAAAAGCTGAATTGCAACACACAATTAGAAGATTTTACAAAACAATTGTTAAGCTTATAGGTGGGTGATTACAAAAGACATCTGGGGGATGGAAAACAGATTAGGGAGGGAGGAAAATGAATTTATTCATTTCCTCCTGTGCATTCACCTTTTGTATTTGCCTTACTTTATTTCATCCTCCAAACAACAGTGATATCTGCATCTCATGGAGGAGACAGTTACGAAGTACACTGACTCACTCACTGTGATAATTGTACTTGAATTTGAAACCAGGTTTTATGGTTCCACTTTTATTTTCTTCCACCTAATACCATACAGTCCTCTCAAACTGGAGATTCTCTGTATTGTAGCCCAGTAAGTAGTAAAAATGATTCCTTCTGAAGACGGTAAGTATCAGTGAGACTGTCTAGCAACCATAACCCTCTGTAATAGTTTTGGTATATACTCAAGGACTGAGGGCGAGGCACTCTGGCCTCAGTTTATCTAACTGTTTACAATAATATTTGCCTCTGAAATTATTATAGAAATTGACAACATCCAGAAGGGTTCAGGGGCTGGGACTGTAAAGAATTCCCCAAAGTAGTGATTTTCCACTCTGATTCACTTTTAAACAGGTGTTAATGTCAAAAGATCCCCATACAGTAGGGTTTTCCAGATTTGCCTGATAATAATTTTGGGGTGCTTATGAAAAGATTCCCAGGCCTTTCCAAAGAGATTTGCCTTCAGGAAGTGTGGCAGAATGCCTGAAAATCTGCACTTACAGCAAGCATCCCAAGTGATTCATAACATCAGACATGTTTGGAAAATACAGCCATAGCATCAGCTCGGGATGATTTAATGAATTAAAGGAGAATATGTTTTGAGAGCAGTTTTGGACTTTTAGATGCATTTGCTTTATAAAATGCTTTAGGTAGAGTCTTGACTATTTGGAGAAAAATTATTGCTTTGGTTATATGACCAGTATTCTGTTTAACTCTGTCCAAAAAAATGTATTAAATAGCCCCAGCATGAGCAAATCGAAAAATGTGTGGAGCAATGGAACTCACACTCACTGCTGTGGGAATGTAAAGTAATTCAGCTGCTTTGGAAACCAAGTGTCAGTATCAGCTAAGGCTGAGCAAAACACACAGCCTGCGACCGCAGTTCCACTCCCACCACAAACCCACTTAGTCATTCAGGTATTGTGGTTTGCTGATGTTGATTTTCTGGTCTTGATATACCCTAGAGTTACAGAGATTGAAACCTGCCTCCATTAGGGGAAGCTGAATGATAGTTGCATGAGGTGTCTCTGGGTATTTTTGCAACTTACTGTGAATCTGTAATGATTTCAGTTTTAAAAAGTGACTTAAAGGGATGCCAAATCAAGTAAATACTATTGCTAAAATGGCTGAACAAATTAAAGGATCTTTTAAAGTTATCTGTACAGCCTTCCAGAGTTGCTTTTAAAGAAACTGGTAGCCAAAGCCCTGTTTTGTGTTTCTTGCTTCACTGTGGGCAATTTCATCCCTGACAAGCAATGTCAACATTGTTTTAAGGCCATAGGTTATCATCAACAATCAAGATACACACTTATCTTATTAACATTTCAAGTGTGTTTTCCTTTACCTTATGAAGCATGGTTATGAGTTGCATTAAAGTCATTGTCTGATAGTTCTAACTGCTGGGCACTTTGGGTTGCCATCTATTACCTTTCCCCTTGAGAACTGGTTCAATTCCTTGTTCTTTTATGTTGAGTAATTTTGAATTGCATTTTGGGTGTTAATACAGTTTGTATCAACTATAAGTCCTCATATAATGGAGCAGGGAATGCATAATTAACTTTAAAAACTCAGAGGAAATGAGACAGAATTTACGGTCTAAACATAAACTGGGTGATTACTTGCCAAAGTAAAAACAGCATCTCCAGAATGTTGAGTCTCGTCCATAACCTACCTGCTTTACTAATGTTCAAAGTGTTCAAATAGTTGCTTGGTGTCTAGGGTTTTTAGCCATAATTATCAGAGGGGATGGACTGTTTTTCACTTGCCATATATCAGCACAGCAACTCCTCAGGGGTTTTTAGTTTTTAAAATTCTCTATTTTCTGCTCCATTATAATTCAGTAGTAAATAATTAGGCAAAATCAGTGAAAGTTTGGAAGTTCAGTAGTATCCCAAGAAGATACTTAAAATTTTGCAAAGAAGGAATAAATAGCATATAGGATATAGGGATCTTTGACTTCAGTTAGTAAAACAAAACTGATGGCATACCCACTATGTGCATGTGTGTAAGATTTTATTTCAGAGTTTACTGGACAGCCTAGTGGGTTAATAAATGTGCCTTAATAAATGAAGATCAATAAATAATGATAATATTTATAAAAGAAAAGTTTGTCCTCAAGGGTTGAAGTACCATTTTTATTTAATTAACATATTAGAGCATCTTCAAAATACAGTGACACAGACAATGCAACTTAATTTTAAACCCATCTTCAAACCAGCAATTTTTAATATTGTGGGAAAATCTGAGTTGATGATAAATTTTTAGCTAATTTCATTTTTTTGTGATTTAAAATCTTGTTTAGGAAAAGTAATTAAATACATGATTTCTCTTCCTTAAGGTTCCTGATGCAGACTTTTCTAAACTGTCTAATTAAATCACAGACACTACCAGAGCAAGAAGAAGCCAGGAGAGTGATGGTGTGGAGTATATTTTCATTTCCAAGCATTTGTTTGAGACAGATGTGCAAAATAACAAGTATGTGGAAGATTTTAGAATTTTTGTGTGACTATTGTTTTTAAGCATGTGTCTATGTAGTTTTAGACAACTGAGGGTTCCCTTCCATTTGAGACTGATAAAAAGGTAATTCAGTTAATAGTTTTCACCAGTCTGTCTGAACGTTTTTAATCACCTAAAGCTGCTATTTTTCTGTAAGTTAAGCATCTAGGAATTACTTTGAAGAATGAGGGAAGGTTCTAATGTGTGATTGTGACCTCTAACTAGTTGAATCTTAACATATAATTGAGGTAGAATTTTATTTTAAAAAACAACTGCATAATAGATTCCTGGTTCCAGAGTCTCCTCCACACATACCTCGTTGGCTCTTTCAAAATAACTAAACGCGTTAATCATCTTGCTTGTTCCACACCCTCTAGCCAGCCCCAAGTCCCCCCTCCCCAGGCCTTCCACTTGCTTAAGCATGAATATTTTAGGGTATCAGGAAGCAATGTGTGTTTTAATGCAGGATTGTGGGATTTTATTGAAACATCAAAATGCCTTTTCCACGTTTGGCTCAGCGATTGTGTTTTTATAGCACATAATCAGCTGCCCTGGTTCCATTAGCCACCAGCATGTCCCACCCCTGGTCCTGCAGCTGAGCTTGGCTACTCTGTAGTGTGCAGTGAGATTTCAGTAGTCTCTCTTGTTTGGCTTATTCACTGTTTTATTGCATCACATTAGTTCTGAAAAAGAGGTGATGGAAAACAGTACTGCTGGACCAAAGTACTTTTTTCTGCTTAAGCATAATACTAGCAAGTGTTACTGATTTGAAAACATAAAAGAGATTTTTTTTAAATTGACATTCTGTAGTACTTGGCCTTATGTATTTTATTAAACACAGTAAAAAAAAAAAAGAAGTCACATGTTCAGCAAAAATATATAATTCACAGATTTATGTCTGACTTTTTTACAGGTTTATTGAATATGGTGAATATAAAAACAACTACTATGGTACAAGTATAGACTCAGTTCGGTCTGTCCTGGCGAAAAACAAAGTCTGCCTGTTGGATGTTCAGCCTCATGTAAGTAAACAGTGAACTGTTCAACACCTGCTGGCCCTTGTGGTCTCCACTTCATGTGAGCATTTCAATCTGGGGTAATTCTGAAGTCTACTCACTTAGAGCATCAGTGTAGCTTTCCTAGTGACCAGAGAACCTAAATGTAATCTGACAAGTCTTTGGTGGAAAAAAAGCCACTATTAGGAAAGTGGTGGAGTAGGGGAAGCCTCCAGATCTTGTTCATACTCATTCCAAGTATAATAACTCTTAGTTATTTCTTCTGTGTAGTTGGTATTTTTAAAATACATTGCATGTTATATAACAGAAAAGAATACATCCACATTTAAGGTTTTATCATTTTTAACAATGATTTTAGAGGTTCTCAGTCCTCTTTTGATTTTGGCCCTGTAGTATCCTAGAAGTGTGAACTCCCCAGTTAGTGCTGTGGGCATTAACGGTCCCATGAGACCCTTAGTGCATCTGTCAGGCAGATCCTCGCTGGACACCCTGGAAGTCCTTACAAATACCGGGAACTAGTTTCCTGTGCCAGTGGGTGAAGCCACTCATTTCCTGTCACACCACATCTCCCTGTGCTGAGACCCTGCCCCCTTTGGGAAGGTGACCCTGCAGTAAGAGCCCCAAGCATTAGGAGGGCACTGGCTCCTGGCTGGCCAGGCACTAGTGATGCACCATGCCCTCCTGGTCATCCTCTCTGCAGGGGTCCTGGGTCCAGGTGTTCCCCCAACTCCACATCCCCAGGGCTCACTAGCCCCTCCAACCTCTCTCTCCCCACTGCACACGTCACCAGTCTGCCTGGCCTTTTGGTAGAGCTGCTGGTTCATACTCACATCCAGAGAGGCCTCAGCGCACAGGTCAGCAGGGTTCCTCAGCTGTCATCTTTCCATCCGCCACTGTGATTACAGATGAACAGTGTCAGTAATGGTCTGGGGAATGTTGACAAGCTTCTGGAAGAAGGCTCTGAAACAGTGAAAGAGAAGGACTTGCGCCTGAGATCAGAAGGAAAAATGGGACGGTTGGGGGACTTTCGTGTGTGGAATGGTACTTAACTCATAACACCTTTTTGGTATTTGATTTCTTTTTTAGCCACTTCTGTTCAATATTGATTATGGCATATTTCAGAACATTTTTAAATGCAAGTTACATTTTCTGCCATCTTTTCAAGAGTATTTATTGTCAACCAACTGAATAGTAGTATACTGAAAGACCGGTCAAGCTTAGAAATTTTCACCTTAGAAATTTCACCTTAGAATTTTCACCTTAGAAATTTCAATTTTATTATAAAACTCACTCATGAAGTTATGAAGAAATGTAAGAAAACTTACTTTCTGCCTTCTAGACAGTGAAGCATTTAAGGACACTAGAATTTAAGCCCTATGTGATATTTATAAAGCCTCCATCAATAGACCGTTTGAGAGAGACAAGAAAACATGCAAAGATTATTTCAAGCAGAGATGACCAAGGTGCTGCAAAGCCCTTTATGGTAAGTATGAAGGCGGCAGTTTGCTTACCCCCTGCGGCAGTGGTGTTCCTCGGGGGAGCCTCGGACAGCAGTGATCCAAAAAGCTATAGGTGATGGAGGTATACTTAGGTACATACACATTGAGTGATTGCTTTTTGTGCTGCTACAGGTGGATCTTACGGTGTACTATTTACGGATATTACACTGACTGAAAACTTTTATGCAAACTCTTATATAAAAGACCACTTAGTTTTCAAACTAGTCTTATTTTTAAAGGGAAGAATACCAAGGTCAGTTACTGATACTCCCTGGTAAAGGAAAAATTTAATAATTTGCCTTTTCTGCCTCACCATCAACAGTCCTATTTAGCATACAAAGTAAAAAGAAGGTACCATTGTGGGTGTAGGGCAAAGAGACTCATGTTAATTCAATAATTGTTTTTCCTAAGAATGTTGTTGGCAACAGCAGCTGAGGCATTAACAATGATAATGACATCTGGCACGGCCTTTCATTGCTTTTTGTTTTTAACCTTAAGATAATATAATCTACTTTAGAATCAGAAACAAAAAGTCTGGCATAAGGCTTTCCTGCAGCAGTTTCTGACACTTTACTACAAAGGCATCTTCAGGGCATTGCTATTACACACAGGGGACATAGTCTTAGCTTTGGCTTACATACATTTATGGATATAATGTCAAGAGCTTCCCCCTACTCCTCTTAATTAACACATCTTTAACCATCTATATTTGCAAATTACTGTGGTTACAATGTACAGATCATAATTTTGATTCCCACTACCGTATTTTCTATAATAGATATCCATGCTGAGTAGGTACTGTCAGACAATGTTAGTCATTCAGGGATTGACAGTTAAATTGTCCATTGTGAAATCTTCTGTGAAGTTGAAATGTGGGCTTATTAATTCCTTCAGTATGTTGCAGTGTAGAGTTATTCTATATGTAAATGACATAGTCTTAGCTTTGGCTTACGTACATTTATGTATATAATTCTAGTCTCGAGCTATATAATCAACTAAAATACTTCCTTGTTTCAAAAATGTGAGTACAAAGGGGCACTTGACAGTTCTGATGATACGTGTCACTTGAAGTCATGGTAAATGTCCTTTTACAAACGTATCCAACTCTGAAAAAGTAGGTGAGGTAAATACCTTGCTATAAATAAGCATAAGCAAACAAAGCATCAGTTCTCCCTCCATAGCTCTTTCCGCACTGCAATATCCCTGTTGTAAATAGGTGACTCTTTATCCTGCAACTCAGGGAAGGCAGGAGTTTTGACTCAGAGCAAACCAGAGGGACAGTATAAGAAATTATGACTTCAGGAGAATTTGTGGTTACAGAGGGTAGCTTGCTTCTGGCTGAGGTGACAGATGAGCCCCGACCAACACCACATAAACTTGCTGGGGGAGTGTTGGCATCAATACAGTGTACTTGCCAGGTTAACCAGTTTTTTTGTGTTCATGTTTCCTTTATTAGGAAGAAGACTTTCAAGAAATGATTAAATCTGCACAGATAATGGAAAGTCAGTACGGTCATCTTTTTGACAAAATTATAGTCAATGATGACCTTACCATGGCATTCAATGAGCTAAAAACAACTTTTGACAAATTAGAGACAGATATCCATTGGGTTCCAGTGAACTGGTTGCATTCATAAGTAAGGGAAATCTCCACAGCATCTTTCTGTAGAGTGCATGGTTGAATCAGTTACCATTTTGGTGGTAGGGCTTTTTAAATCTCTCTTGCTGTTATAGATGTGCAATCTTGGTTAAAATTGAATGTTGGTTCTCTTTTGTATCATTTTACAACCTTATTTCAAACAGTGTTTGAGTATAAGATCCAAAATCAAAATTTACACACTGTATTCTGAGCAAAGCTCTGCATCATCTGGTTTCCTTAATAGATAGCTCTATCTCCAAGATGGAGTTGTACTTTTCAGAGAGACATATATTGGAGTTCAGGGCTTCAGGTCTCAGGCATGGTCCCCTCCATCCAGTCTGCAGGGCAGCAGGTGATGCCATTAGCAGCCATGACCCATCCCAAACATGGCAGCTTTCTGTGTTTCAGGTAGACCATCACCAGTTCTCCTGGGGTTGCAGTAAGATGGAGTCTGATTATTCTAATAAGTGCAGTCTTTTTTCTTAGGTATGCACAATATATTCACAGTGGATGCATTTAAAAATCTTTCTTAAAGGAATTACTGAAAACTTGCCTTAGTGAGTGGCCTTTGTGCTACAACTTGAGAAGACGACAGTAGCACTTATAAGTGACTCAAATATTTAATAAGGGAAGACAGACTTCTTATATATTTAACTAAAAAGCCTTCTTTACAGCATTCATCTTAGTAAGAATGGCCAAATCTTGGGAAAATAATTACAAAAGACATTTTTATTATAAATCCTCAGACCACATTTTAGAGTCACCAAAAAGGTTGTTTTAGCTGGTTTTGGATTTTCACAATAAATTATAAGAATGTGATTCTTGTTCTAAAAAGTACATGTCTTATAAGTTACAGTTAAGGAAAATGTGATCATTTTTCAAATATGCACTAAGATGTATTTTAGAAAACTTTTCTAAATGTAATATCAACTTATTTTTTCATCATCAAAATAATTGGCCAGATATCCTAATCTTGCCATTTTTAAATAAGTGTAAGAGAGACTCTTACATTTTACGTATTTAGGTGGAATCTCTCATTTTTCCTTGATACTACTGATCTTCAGCAAATACTAGAAATGTCCCAAGTTGTGTAAGAGAGAATATGTCCTGCCAGTCAGAAGTCATTGCATTTGAGAATTTAGATGTCATATTTAAGGAAAAATAGAATGTAGTAAAATTTTATATATTTATGAAATATTTAAAAGGCATATTTTTTAAATTATCAAATGGGGCTGTTCATAAAATAAATTGTATGTAGAGATGTCATAATTTAACATAATAGTTTTATAAGTCAAGGTCAACATTCCATGTAAATATTTGACCTGTATTTGAACACAGGTCCCCATGAGTGTCATCTGTGTGTGCACTGCATGTCCGAAGGCATTATCCACTGAATTTCTTTCACACATTTCATATTAGAAACAAAAACTCCTGCAATGGCCTTGATACCCACATACATCAAAAGAGAGAAAGTCTGTTTTAAGTATGGCTTTAATATCAGATTTGACAACCCTCTTTCCCACCTTGTTTTTCAAGTTGTGTGGCTGGCCTAAGAAAATACAAATCTTAGTTTGGGTAGAATATTTTTCTCTTTGAATATTGATTGAAATTTCCTATGAATCAAGATTTCCTGTTCAAAGAGTAACAAGAAATGTAGGATGATTTAGGCAGTCCAAATTCTTTGTTCTGAATACCTGCATGAATTCTTTATTCTGGGGGTAGAAAGTGTAAAGTGGTAGAAACTGAGTCCTTTTGTTGTTAGCAGTGATGAAAGTGTTATACAAAAACTGTCCAGACCTTTCTTTCTTTTTACAATAGACCTGAACAATATTTTTAAATAATGAAAAGGGGCGCTGAAGCAGTTTGAGAAACCTTTTATCCGGTAGAATATATAATGTTGCAAGTAACATTTACATGACCATCTTGATGCCTGGAGATCAATTTAATGATCAGAGTTAAAATTTAATGAGTCAGTGACCTCCAGGGCTTTGTTGGTAACTGTAGGCCCCCTCGCCCCCAGGGAAGGCTCACACTATGCTTCTCCCTCTACTAGTTCTTCAGGCAGCCTGCTGCCAAGACAGGGTGTCAATACTATTTGAGTGAAGAGGAATGTTTATATTTTTAAGTTCCATATATTTAAAATCCAAGATCAAGAAGGAAACTTTGTATTCCCATGGCTAACAAATTAGAATCAATTAAAAATTAAAAAAATGAAATTGACATATAATTTTTTACTTACCAAGACACACGTTCTTGATATTTTTAAGGCTGACATTCCTTGTATTGTGTATTGATGAGATGTGCCTAAATTGTAGTAATTTGATAGGCATATAAACTCAGATTTATAAAACTGTTAAAAGCTTCCTGAAGATAGAGTTTATTATTTATATGGTAAGGATTTATAAATAAATGTAATGGAAAACCTCTGATCTTAATAAAGAACCTTCAAATGATGTGTTTTCTTGAAAATCATTTTGGTGTCAATTATCATTTCATACAGAACAAATTCTGTTTTCTATTATATTGGGTGACTTACTTGAAATTGCTGTCTAAAAATAATTTTGTACTTGTTTGAGATACACACTGGTTTCACCAAGGTTGCTGGAAAGATGATGGAATTCACTAGGCTTGCTCTTACTGTACGGTGCAGCTGTTTAAAGATGTGGAGAAATACTATGATCCAGGCCTATCCACCTGTCCCCAGCTCCTCCCCATCAGGAATCAGCATTATCCACATCCTCTTCCTTCCTTCCAGTTAGGCAGAACTCAACTTTTTCAGATGCACATCTGAGGACACTGCCACCTGCTTACACAGACAAACCAGTTAGTACTGGCTTTGCTTCAGCAGTTGGCCCAGGTAACCCCAGCTCTGCTTCCACTGAAAGATTACATGGTATAGCAGCAGCCTGGAACCTAAAGCCAGAATTCTTGAGTTCAGGTTCTGGTTTTGCCTACTATCTGCTCTGCAACCTTGAGAAAGCCATTTAACTGCTCTAGTCCCCATTTTCTCATCAGAAAAATGGAGGTAAGACCAGTGCTTACCTGACTGACAGGGTTGTGGTGGGCGTGAAGGAATTGCTCCATGCAAATGCTTGGGACAGAGCCTGGGAGAGAAGTGTTCATTAATTGTGAGCTCCATCACGCAATTTAAATAATGATAATCATCTTGTGTAAACAGTTCCCCTATTAGTAAACTCACTGGAAGTTTCCTGATAATTTCTATTACAAACTTTATTAAAGAAAAATTCCATTACATCCAAGTGATACATCAGAATCCAATTAAGTAATCCTCAATTGGAAAGTGAACAGATTCTTATTTTTAGCTGCTAGGAGGCGATGTAAAATCAGTTTAGAAGAAATGTCTCTTAATTATATGAATGCTTATTTGGTTACCCTTAAGCTTCTAGAGGACAGGAAATATTTTACTTTATAGAAGCTATTTTATACACATATACCTACACAGGCCAGATTGTACTTATCAATCATCAAACATCTATATGATTTCCATACACTATCATGTAATCCTCACAACTACCTTACTTGGGGAACGGTATCTTCATATTTTACAGTTGAGGAGACTGAGGGGTGGGGCTTGCACACCTTGTGCATGGTGACAGGTAATGAGACTCAGGGTTTGACTCATGGTCTGACTTCCTCCAACTCCATGCTGTTTTCACTGCATTGTGCTTCCTGGTGTTGATGTAAATTGAGCCAAAGCTGGCAACAGGTGAGATTTGCTAATTAGGGGAGTGACTATTTGTCCATTTTATGCATGTACAGTTAGCAAGGCATTTTCTCAAGACACTATTGCTTTTGTGAGACATAACGACCTATCTATGCCCATATGAGTGCCTTAATCTTTGGACACTGGTGTTTATTGGAAGCATACAGAAACTTAGATAATTACATAGCATAATATGCAATTGTCTGTTTAGTCTGCATCCCAGGCCTTAGTGATGAATCATGGATGATCTAAAGAGTCATGACAGTCTCTCTGCAGGGCTTGCTCAGCTGGTCATGCTACCCAATTCCAGGTAATGTCTGTTGAAGGCGCTAAGAGTTGTTCCCTGATTTAGACAACTGCAGATGGGAATATTCTGTGCTTTTCCACATCCTTCCCATTTGAAATGCTTCAGTGATGTGATGCTTGTCAATATGAGAGCCACAACCCTAACCCTAAATCAGAGGGTGATAAGGCTAATCTATGGGAGATGACTGAGCATAAAAAGGAAAAGACTAAATCCATGCAATTGAGCTCCTGAACCAATCCTGGGACCTCCTGCTCTTAACCGCAGAATCAACAGTAAATGTTCTACTTATGCACTGTTTGTGGGTCTATAAACTGGTACAGCAATTATGGAAAACAGTATGGCAGTTTCTCAAAAAATTGAAAATAAAACTATCATATGACCCAGCCATCTCATGTTTGAGTGTACATTTGAAGGGAATGAAAGCACTCCCAGCGATACCTATACACTTGTGTTCACTACAGCAGCGTTCACAGTAGCCAAGGAAACAACTGAAGTGTGCATCAACAGATGATTGAGTAAAGAATGGAAACACAGGGATATTAGCCATAAAAAAAGAAGGAAATACTGCCTTTTGGGTGGGCATTCAGGGCATTATGCCAAGTGGAATAAGTCAGAGAAAAGCAAATAAATTACTTTTTTCTCACTTGTATATGGAATCTAAAAAACCCAAATTCACAGAAGAAAATAGAATGTGGTTCTCAGGGGCTGGGGGAAATGCTGGTCAAGGGTACAAACTTCAGTTATAAGATAAATAAGGTGCAGGATCTAATGTATAGTGTGATGACTCTAGTTAATAATACTGTGTTACAAACTTGGAAGTTGCTAAGAGAGTAATTCTGAAATGTTATCACCACACAGAAAGTAATGATGTGATGTGGAGGTGTTACCTAACTTTACTGGAGTGATCATTTCACAATATATACATGTATCAATCACTTTGTATACCTTAAACTTGCAGTGTTATATGTCAGTTTTATCTCAGTAAAGCTGGGGAAACAAATTAATATTCTGATGGTTTAAGTCACTGTTAGGCTACTGTTTTTACTTGCTAAAAGTACTCCTAATGGAAAGCATCTCTTACCAAATGTTGTCTTTGTGCTCAGCTGTTACCTGCTCTGAGTGACACACTGAACTTTAATGCACTCAGGGACCTACAGGGTGGACAATAGCAAGAGACTCCATTTAAATTTTATTTTTCTTGGGTTCCACTTTTTTCCCTCCAAATTTGGAGAAAGTTATTGTTTTTAGACTTACAAATTTATCATAGTTTTAAGTCTGTCATTTTTAACAAAGTAATACCTATTTAACTTGACTTGGGCAATAGTACAGTTGACCCTTGAACAATGTATGGATTAGGGGTACTAACCCCTGTGCAGTCAACAATCTGAGGATAACATTTGATTCCCCAAAACTTAACCTGCTATTGACTAGAGCCTTACTCATCACACAGTTAATACATATTGTGTATGTTATATGCATTATATACTATAATGTTATGGTAAAGCAAGCTAGAGAAAAAATATTTTTTCAAATTGTCACAAATCTCCAAGGATAGCAAATATTTTCCAATATATTTATGGAAAAACAAACATGTAAGTGGAACCCTCACAGTTCAAACCCATGTTTGTTCAAGGGCTAAAGGTAATAACAAAAGGTTCCGTTTGTTGGACCTGTTTTCTGTTCCAGGCACTCCCCTAATGGGTAGTATATGAACACAGCAAAGATCTAAATAGCAATATATTTAAGTAACTATGACTTCACAAAACAATATAACTGCAAAAGTGAAAGAAAAGGTATATAACAAAGTGATAACTTATGAAAACATATTTCTGTCAGGAATTTAGAAGATACCAAAACAGGATGGAGGAGTGAAGGAAGCAATACAAGTGTACTTAAGTGGAAGTTAATTATTTTTTAAAAATTTGAAGGCAGTCACCTGGGGACTAAAAGTAAATCCAAAGATGAATTAAAAACAGAACCCACTAAGTGAGATGCTGGCAACAAAACCCATGCTTCTACTACTACATTTTTAAATGGTGTAAAACTCATCTATGAAGAAATGTCTTCTCAACTACATCAAAATTGACACCAGCCATATACTTCCAGAAGAGAAAGATTTAAGAGGACTGGCAGTGATATGTGAAACATGCAAACCAAAGAGAGCAGAGGGCATGAGAATAACATCAAAATTGAATTCATTGTTAATTGGGTCAAAAGGTCATCCTGTGATCATCAGTGGTATAAACAACACAGGGAAGGGTATTGAAGACAAAGAAAACCTTCAGAAACACGGTCGACAAAACCACATCATTGGTAATCCTTAAAAACTTACTAATTGAAGAGAAACAGTTACAGGAAGTCCAAGTATCCAGATTCCTCAGGCTGATCTCCTAGCAGTGGGATTACACCTATTCCAGAGCCTCACTGAGCAGAAACAGTCCTAATACAGGCCACAAGGAAAACCTCATTAAATTCCAAAACATTTAAATAACTTCAAATTATATCTTATCACAACAGTGCAATAGAACTAAAAATGAATACTGAATAGAACCCCAACAAAACACCTCCTGAAAAATTATAAGTTTTTAAAAACTATTCTGGTCATTGAGGAAATAAAAATGAAATTGAAGTCTATTCAGGAAATAACAATGAAACTATCCAAATCTATGGAATATGACTAAAACAGCGCAGGAAAATTTGCTGCCTTAAAAGCTTTTCTAAGAAAAAGAAATAATAAACATTGGCTTAAGCAACATGAGAAAGAATAACATGAGTGGTGTTTTGGCTAGGTTATAATATACACTGAATTTTCCAGGAACGCACTACCATGTAAATCAAAGGAAGGTTGTACTTGTGTTTTCCAGAACTGTTCTGAGAGTTTTTCACCATTTTGGAACATGATGTCACTAGTGGTAACGCCACCCCTGGCCTCTGAGTCTCCAATGGGGCGTCAGCACACGCTCTTGCTGTGGCTAGAGTTTGACTACTGTTGTCTTTAGGGACAGGCTGCTTGAGTTTGTACATATCAAAATGTATATTTTATTTCAATTGCTTTCATTTCTCCCTTACATTACAATGGAGTTTCATTTTACTCAGGCAAATTACACTATCTGTGGATTTCATTTCAGGATAGCAAAACGGATGTTAACAATTTCCCCTAGGAAGGGACCACGGCCTATGACATGGTTAGTCATTGCTGCTTCAGATGCACGGCTGTTCAAATCCCTCCTCCTGTTCTGCTGCATTCTACATTTCACTGCTCATCCAATTTTAATAATATATTTTATATGATTAATATGTAATTGAGCATCAATTAGTATCCTCAGAGATACTGCTGCTCTGAACAGGCTGCTGAAGAAAAAAGTATCTTCAGAGTTGAAAATATTTTCAAAACTAATAGGATCAAATAAAAAAATGGACAT